GAGTGCCTGGTGTCTCGCTGTGGACCGCTTCTCGAGCCTCAGGAGGCTCTGAGGCCTTCGTGGGGATGATGGCGGCAGGCGGAGCGGGAGATGCAAAGCCTTGGTGCACATGCTCAGTCCACTTGCAGGCATGCCATGCCTCTGGATGCCCATTTCACAGTCGACAAGCAAGATGCCATGGGGGCACAGACGGACACCTGTCCCAGAGATCGAACAATGTCACAGGCCAAGAGGCTGATTTTTCGCCTGATGACCTCCGGCGGTCAGAGAGGACTCAAGGCAGACAACGTGCGTGACTTCAAGACTCACGTGATTCAAGGCTTGAACCTTTGAACCTAGTTTTATTTTACCAAGCTCGTTCAACTCTGCGACTTGTGATGGCTTGAAGCGGCTTGCTGCAGAAAGTCAAACACCACCGGACCAATCGGATTTGCCGCCAATGGCATGAAAAGACTTGAATATCTGCATCCGCTTCGAGTAGTGGCGAAGTTCTGTGACTGAGCCGCAGGCCCTAGCGCGCCCTTTTTGGGGCCTTGTTTGTCAGAACAGGGACAAGATGGGACAACAGAAGGTGTTTGGAAGGGACAGGCATGGGAAGATGCTGACTCCGTCGACAGTTCTGCGCAACAAATTCTACACATGAAGCACATAAAACAAAAGTTTCTGCTTCCATACGCCTCGCCAAATGTCCAGAAAGCAGGACCTTGTCCCCGCGTCCTGATGCCCTCACTGCCGAAGCAGGTCTGCCCATGCCGCCCGGGTGGTTCAGAACAACATGGAAAAGCCGTGGCAGTTGCAAGCATTGCGATAACTGTTGTACTGCTGGTTCCAAACAACCCGGACAACAGTACTAAAGAACATATTTACCGCTGTACAGCTTTGTCGTTGGCAAATTAGGCCGTCGTCAACATCATCACCATAATCTTGGTGCCGCTGACCTGATCTTCTGATTTCATCTAAGCTTCACAGGGCTTCACGATCTCCGGCACGCGAGGAGACCGAGTCTGACTCGTGAGTCTCCTCACTTCGTATCTCGTTTCGTGCCCATTCTCGAGCACACTGTCTGAGGCCCCTGTGCTCTTCGGAACGGAGCCAGAGCTCTCCCAGTTTGTTGGCACGCCTTGCACCTTTGGCACCTTTCAACTTCTTCCAGGGCGGATACGTCCATGTCTTGAGAAATTCGGTCAGAAGAAGCTGATCATCTGTATTTAGATTGCCAACACCATGGCATGAATCCAAAACATCACTTGCTTGTTGCTCAGGCACGACGAGCGCGAAGCACTCCAGGCAGCGCCACTTAGGCTCCAGAGGCATCCGAAAGCGAAGCGCATCTAGGGAAATCTTCTGGCAACAAAAGAAGCACTGCGACCGGCCGGACTTTGCGTACTCGACAACGGCAGCCATGAAATCACGAAACTCGAAACCCGTCGCACATCAAACCGTGCCAGTCTATCGTCTATCGCTTGCGCACATTTACATGATCTTACATGCATCCGGTGTCCTGAACTGGTGATTGATATGGGTGTCTAGGACGACATAGGACCATGAGTCTCAACCAACTCCCACATGCAGGGAACCATGGAGGCCGTTTGAGACAAGAATGCAGGCATAAACACATCTGCAGAGTCTCGACGCAGCGGTTCCGATTCGCGTCCAACCCCTTCACCGAGCGGAGGGCTTCCCGTCGTCATCGCCTTTAAGTCTGACCGCGGCTGCGGCTTCTGGGACTACTCTCGGACCATGCGGAGGGGGCGGGGCCGGGGGAGGGGGGATGTAAGCACCCGACCCGCCGGAGGCTCCTGCAGCAACGTATCATCTCTGCTTCAGTGACATGATGAGACGGCCATGGTCGGCCATGGATGTTACGCTCCCTGCTTCTTGAGTCTTTTCCCTCCAGGCCTCCGAGCCGGAGTCGCCGCAAAGGACCGAAAGCCTAGGAGGATGCTCCCAAAAGCACTCCCGGAGCCAGAGCCCCCCAATCATTCAAATCCTGTTTCCGCATTGTCCTAGATTGTCATCTACCTACGGCAACGGGACACCTCAGAACCCTCGGTCTCCAACAGCAGGCTGTCTATGTCAATAGGTCCATATCATTCTGTATCTGCTGCACTTTGCTGCCATGCCGATGTCGCTGCATCCTGCACGTTTATTCAGGCTTCGCGCTTTCGCTTGAGGCCGGGTTCGCCAGAGCCTGCGCGATTTTGCAGGTGGCTGCGAATGGGTGCGTAGCCCCGATAAACCGGCCTTGCCGGAAGCCAAAGCTGGCGGTGACGTGAACCTTTCGCTCCGCGCAAACCACAACAGTGCTGAGTGGGAGCGCCGAGGAAGGCACCAGCGGGCGGGGCGACTGCTCGAGCCCTTGGTGGGAGTATGCCACCACACAAACTCTGCCCCATCCTGCCCCGTTCTGTCCCAGCCCTACTGCAAGCTCGGGCTTCAGCTGACCGGCCAGTCCTCGTGCGCCTTCCCTCGCGTCGTCGCCGTAACCTCACCGTGCAATGTCACATGCCACATGTGCTACGCAGACCCTCGCAGATCTCGGTTCATCTCGCAGCAAACGCCCAGGCCTCTCCCGTGGAGTCCTCGGCCTCCGGTGGGCCTCAGCCATCTTCCACCCCAGACGTCCATCAGTCGGAGCTACAAAATTCTCCAAGAAAGCCTCCACACAGCGTGCGGCACGTGCGGCACGTGGCATGAAGGTTGCTAAGCGAACGGCTCGGCAAGGACTCCCTTGGCGAAGCCGAAGCCGGTGCCGAACGCTCCTTCGACTGTTCCTTCTCCTCCTTGCATCCGGCAGTGTGTGCCAGTCAGATTCAAAACCTACAGCTAGCAACCTGACCTTTCCATGCCTTTCTTGAACTGATGCAGCCAATTGCAGGCAATTGCAGTCGCTTGCAACCAGGCAGCTGGGTCGGGCATCCCACTGCCCCCGTCCACGGCTGGCAAAGCGCACTTGACTACAATGTCCACGACCTGTAGTTACTTAATCGTTAGAGCAATACAAGGAGCATCATTGTTCCGGAACGTGTAGTGCTACAGTCTCTGGCCTCCTGCGCGTGCTGCTGTAGTGTGGCCGGCAGGGGATTGCAAGTGCTGCCTCAGCCCAGCGTTCGTGGCTGTCCTGTGGTCGCTCGCGATTGGAGGCTCAGTGACCTGCGTAGCTTCACAGGCCTCGCATCTACATGGATCGTTTGTGTGCACTGCCTCGCATGCTTTTTGCACAGAACACGGTTGTAGGCTGGCTGGCGATGTGGGCATTGCCAGGGAAACTCGCCAAAGGCAAGCATCGGGCGCCACAAAGTTTAGTGACCTTGCAATCAGCGGCTATTCCCAGCTTGCCACAATTTCCTCTTCTATCTTCTTCTTCATCTTCTTCCTCTGCGTCCCCTTCTTCGTCTTACTATTTGCTTCTTGGTGTCTTTGTCTTCGTCTTCTTCATATTTTTCTTTCCTCTCTTGAAGTGTTGCACCGCAAGGCAAACACCTCTAGCAGAACCACCGGGGGCTTGCAGAGCACTGCTTTCTGGGATGACGACTCGTCGATGCTGCGCGCGAGCTGATCCCGCCAGTCAGTCAAAGCCTGGCGGCAATCGTCGTTCCAACTTTAACACCGGGTGTCATCCAGTACCATTGCAGCTTCGCAGTCTGCCGATGGTGGTCCGGCCTTGAGTACGCTCATCTGCTTGGGTTCCAGCGCGCGCTGCTTGGACCCGTAGCGATCGCAGAGCGAGGCAGCCTTCAGAGCTCTGAGAGATGCTTTCAATTGGGAGGATTCTCAGTGGGGGGGAGGGATGGGGAGGGATGGGGAGGGGAGAGGTGGCATTCCGGGTAGTTCGATGGAACCGGTCCTCGGAGGCGCCGTCGTGTGGAAGCTCCCGGTAGACGGTGGCGCAGAGCCCAGCGCCTCCCCAAGCGACGCTGAGAGCAGACAACGACAGCCAAAGAACGAAAGCAAAGCAGGGAGGGAGGAGGGAGGGAGAGAGACAGAGAGACAGAGAGAAAGAGAGAAAGGGAGCCACCTGAGGTGCAAGTGCTTAGGCCCCAGGCTCTTTTGCATGACTGCCTGGAGATTCTGCACCTCAAGCGCAGGCGCCGAAGCGCAAGCTGAGGAAGCCACTTCTTGGACTAGGTATGGGCCTATGGGTTTTGCGAGGGGTTTGCCAAGGTTTGCGAAGCACAAGGCCACAAGGCTTTGGCTCCTTCATCGGTCGCCTCGACATCCCCGTTCTCGAGCCTAGCAGGCACTTTGCACCACATCCTTTGCTCTTGGGCGTTGCAGAAAACCTGGGGGCTGCACGCAGTGATGCCCACATTGACACCACTCTTCGCCTGAGGTCTGTGACAAGCTACAGGGACACTCATGGTAACAACTGCCGGCTGAAGAAGTAGCCGGATGGCCAATCATGCCCTCCTGGTACCATTGCGCACGCTACATCCCACGTTGAGCTGCCGAGGCGGCACGCGCATGCGTTTACAATGAAGGCTGAACAAAACCCCGAACCCTGTTGGATGGGCGGCACAGCACGTAAGTTCAGATGGCCTGATTCATCTCCCGCAGTCTCCCGCCCTCCAACAATCCTTACGTACTCCATAAGCCCCATCATATACCCCGCCCCTCTTGCAAACCCTACGAGCTGAGCTGTGGCAAAAGTTCACAACTGGGACGAAGACGGCCATGCCGCTCTGTGCCAGCAGTGCATTCTTGAGGCAGTCGTAACCTGGGCCAACTGCGTTGAAACCACGAGACTTTTGCTCCTTACCAAAGCGGTCTGGAGAGCTTTTATGGCTCTAAAAGGCGTCTCAACTTAGTCTCAACTTATGCTGCGACAGTCTCTGGCTCGGATGTCAGAGCTCGCAGGTTTGGCGTGATGCTGTAATTTGAAAGGGACAACCAGCTGCGTTCTTGAAGTGCCGGGGAGCAAAAGAGCAAGTAGTGGGTGTCAGCCTGAGAGGTGCTGAAGAGGAACGAAGATGGACGAGTCGAAGGCCCCTCAGTGCCGCACCCGAGCGTAGTGGACCATCTCCTCTCGACAGTTTTGAGCTGCGGAGTTCTGGAATTCTGGAGTTCCCATGTATTCAATATCTTCCTCTCCCGTAGCCAGACAATGACAGCTGTTTGGAGCTGCAGCCGCGCTCCGTGGGTAGTGGTCGCTCCCTCCAGTCTGCGGTCTGGTACTTCTTGTCCAGCTTCACCTGGGCGGCACTTTTTTGGTGGACGCAAACCACCAGTCGCAAGTTGTGTGCGTTTTATGAAGACCTGAACAAGGCTGAGGAGTGCAATCTACTCGGCTTTTCTGCACCTGGCCAAGCTTCAAGCGACCGAAGCCACAATCCGCATGGCCCAGCTACACATTAACTAGGGGCTAAAGGCAAGCACGAAATCCGGTCTGCTTTCAACCAGATGGTCTCGCCCTGATACACGAAGCTAACTGCGGTCGCAGTCTGTACCACCCCAACGCCATCCCCCAATATTTCCAGGAGTTCGCCGCCGACACTGCGCCAGCCTCCTCCCTCACTTGGCTCACTTGAGTGGCAGGTCTTCCGGGTCCACCTCTTCGGGTAAAGGTCGACCGATGACCAGTGTCGTCCCCTCGCACGCGGTGAAAGCGATGCACACGCTCAACACCGCTCAACCTAAGGCCATCCAAGGTATCAACCTAGGGCCAGCAAGGGCCATCAAGGGCCAGCTCCCGCCTGGACAGTGTTTGCTGGGGACTGGCCGGCCATGGCATCGCCTGCATCTCTGAGCCTTTCAGAGCACGTGTGAACTGGGGAGAACAGACTAGATTCAATACCATGACAGCAGGGTTGAAGCATATTCAAGTACGGCTGACAATACACTTGCTCAAGTGGCTCTAAAGATCTCTTAAAGGTTTAAGAACATTCGAACAACCCACGTGTGCAACTCATGAGATACTCATGAGCCTCCGCGTTTGACGATATTCACCTTCGCCTTCATCTCCTTCCAATTCCTCACCGCAATGTACTGCAATCACGGTTATTGCCGCAAGGTTTGCCAGGAGTGGGCTCATGAAAGTGTCCTTTTCGCCGGCGTTTTCATCCTTGGGCAGGGCGAGTGCATTAGTGCAGTGGCAGTTCTGTTAGAATGGCCGAGGGGGGATGGCTCCGAGATGCTGATTTCCCACAGTGATCAACAACTTCATTGGAAGCTATGCCCTCTCTGCACTCCATGCCCTCTATGCCCTCTATGCACTCTACGCACTCCATTGGTCACCTTCTCTTTTTGTCAGAGCCCGGAGAGGCCTCGGGCAGGATCAGCCGCTTCTGAAAGAACCACAGCGCCACCGGAGAGACGAATCCTCCGAGACGGCATCCCAAGGGCCCCAAAATCAAATCCCCCCAAGAATACTTCGAGACGAAAGAGGAAAAGAAGGACCCCGTACCCAGAAGGGGGAGGGGGGGGCCACTCCTGAGATGCCGATGATGAACCACATCAGCTGGGAGCGCCGCTCCTACCATAAGCTAGGCCCCAAAGCGTCACGTAACATCCGATGCATCTTATCAAAGGCTCCGCAAGCTCGCCGACTTCACTAACCGCGGACATCTTGGGAGATCTACGGATCAAGCACGAAAAATGCATGTCCCTCTTCTCTCATTTTTGATACCTCCCGAAAGCCTCTCCGCCAGTGACATTCTGCGGACAGAAGGTACCCAGTGCCCAGCCTCTCTGCACAGAGAAACACGGAAAGCAACTGAGGGTCTACTGTATCTGACGTATCTGCATCCAGTTGCCATTCCATCTTGCGACCGTTGCCACGGACCAAAGAGACCTGAGGCCTGAAGAGGACCCCCACCCTCCCCCAGGAAGTAGCCACGACCTCTTGTGAGACCTGCACGAATCGCTTGGAGGAGCCACCCCCTGGGACTTCCTCGACTGCCCTGGCACGCCCTGGGACGCCGAGGGACTTTCAAGCCCCAAGTTGACACAGGACTTGGCTTCCTCTACACCCCTCGTTGGCTTGCCGAGGCAGCGCGGCACGCGCAAGCGCTTGCAGTTAATACATAGTTGTTGATTGTTATTCTTTGCTCTTATTGTAAATCTGTTTATCTTGACATTCCAGATAAAGATATTTTTGTGATTTTTTGATTACCAAAAATGTGTGTTTTTGCTACAACTGCTAAATCTTGTCAAGATTTTGAAGATGTTTAACATGTATCGTTGTAGCTTGGTGTTGACATTGGCGTTGTTGGAGTTCTTGTACATCGACCACCTAAACGGAGACATCTGGTGTTTGCTGATATACAATCGTTGTCTGATGAGGATGTTATTGCACAACGAGATGTACGAGATAGATCCCATGCTTGAGATGATGCATCGACAGGATTCAATGATTATTGTAGGGTTCCCGTGCTTCGGACCGAATCATCGGAAAGATCCTACGAATAATCCGAATAAATCATTTACAAAAAGAACTGAAGAAACAAAACCGAAACAGGCACGACACCAAGCCCCCCCCCAAAAAAAAAAACGAATAAGAAGAGAAGGAATGAACAGAGAAGAAATGAGATGTGAAGGAAGCAAGAAAAAACGAACGAGCAACCAAGAAACCCAAACCCTGAGCCTTGCCCCCTGCATCCCCCTTCCTCCACGAAACCGCGATCATACACATCCGCCAACCCCTCCTGCCGAGGGAGGCGTCCGTGACAAACCGTGGCGTCTTCCTGACCACCATTCCCAAGCACCTCCAACGCCCACCTCTGTGTAGGGTTCAGAGCACCTACCTCAGAGTCTTCAGAGTATTTAAAGGGGTCTGCGAGCTGGATCCAGCATCAGAGCAATGCCACGACGATATGCGCAGAGTCATTGGACGAAAGGGGAAGCTAGTCTCCTTGAGAACGTCATGGAACGAATCCAGGGTATCTACCAACGCACTCAAGGTAATGCCTAAGGATTCCGGCACAACCCTGGCTGTCCTGCCAATTACAACTCATGCCATGATAGGTACGACAATCGTAGGTGCTGCGGACACAATATGGTTATCTCCGCCGACCCCGGGGCCTCCTGGATGGAGCACCCCACGGTGTTTACGATTGTTCTTTGCTTGTGCAGACTTCTGAGGTTAACTTATTAGGTTGTTGTCTCCAACGGTTTTGGACTATGCCTATGCCCAACCGCCTTGGAAACTCCCCCCCTGGAACTCACCCCCCTCCCCCCGCTCGCCTGAGATCAGACCTACTGGCAGGGCGGCCAGGTACATGGGCGCCATGGTGATGGCCAGGAACATGCCCTCCTGAAATCTGACAGTGCACCGTCACGTGACGCTGACCGTCTGACTACTCCAGTACTTCCGAGTACTCTCAAGGTTGGTATTTTGGTGTTGGGGCCCTGTGGAGGTGTCCTTGCCCTCAGTGGCTGCCATCGTCGAGAACTCATAGAGCGTGGGTGACCAGATGGTGTCCTGCAGCTCTGCAATGATAGGCTGAATTGGCTGGACCTGCATGTACCAGTGCCAGCCCAGGCTCTCCAAGGGACAGGACCAAGACGAAAATCACCGCACCAAGGTAAGACTCCCAGATAGAGAGTGCAAACACAGAGATGCCAGAGATGAAGGAGCCCCAGAGCCTCGCGCTGGAGAAACTGCAACTCAACAGTGCGACTCGAGAAGCCCGAGCCCGCAGCAGTTTCTGGGACAAAGTCGCATTCCATCTCCTTGGGAAAGATGGCTTGGGGAAGTGCAGAGCTGACAGAGCGCGAATACAGTCAACGCTCTGGATGCCTCTGTCAATGGCTGCCATTCCGAGGGTCAGGAGAAGACCGGTCATCAAAGGTGTCCCGATCATCTCCACGATGGGATTGATGCCAAGGATGATCTCGAACGGGGCCTGGGTGAGACTGCGAGCCAGTGCAGCCCCTCAATGATCCAGTGCACCTCCCCGTCCCTCCCATCACGCCTGCGGCCCGTATGTTCGAATGAAATACTTGGGGAATGTGGCATCCAAATGTCGGAATGTCATCCGGACGCCTGCAAGACAAGAGGCCACGCAAGTCAGGAGGCCCAGGCACGTCCTCCACAGCGGATGCCCTGCCTATGAAGATTCCCGTGATTCCGGCCAATCGCCAGAACTTTGCCTGGCCCATGATCTCCTTGAGGGTCTGTCGCACCTGCGACTTGCGAACTCTCAACTGTTCAACCACCTCTGCCAGAGCGCCCGATAAGAACCTGAAAAAAGGCCGAGCGCCGACCTGGAAATTGGCTGGCTTGAACTTGCAGTACTCTCTGTCCTTCCAAACGCCCCCACAAGCACGCAAATGACATCAATGACTCGGGTCGACTTTAACAAGGGGAACCCTATGTCAATCTGTGTCGCCGTGTCCTTGAGGGGCATGTCAGAGAGAATCTGGATGTCCCGCACGAAGAAAGAAGCGATAACCGTGTAGAACGTGCACGCGGTGCACCTTGCACAAAGGTTGTTGAACAAACATAGTCGCAACGTCCCAAACATGTCATGTCGGTCTCTTCGGAGTCCGAGCAGCAACCACAAGACCATCCTCATCCAGCTGAGCTTCACCTTCTGCAGAGACCGGCAGTCGTTGGGTTCGGCATGGCAACAAGGCAACGCCATCATGTAGGGTATGAGTCACAGGCGCTTGCGCATAAGTGCAACAAGTGAAGCTTGGGCTGTGGCACCGAGCACCACCCACCCATCGACGAGGACGTCACGGACGATGTTGATGAGCACGGAGCCTGAGGCACCAGCTTCGAGGGCTCCATGGCTCAAGCAGTCAAGCTCTCACCTTTTTTGGCCCGGAAGCGGAAGCCCCCAATTTCTTCCTGAATCGCGGGCAGCAACTGAGCTCAGCACCCAGCAAGCAGCCCAGGCAAAGCATGGAGTAGAAGAAAGAGAAAGCAAAAGCCCGATTTTCCCTGCCGAGGACAGCGGCCACCGTTCATCGCAGCACTGGCAAACTGACTGGGTGAAGGGATTTCGGCTAGATCGTCTAGAAACTCGCTCGAGGGGACATGTTTCTGTAGAGCTGTGGAGTGACGGGGTTGCAAACAGTCACAATCCTTTGACGGGCCTGTGGGTGTATCTCCGCACAGCAAGGGCCAAGACGGGAACGCCGAATGCTGCGCCCACCGGAGCAAAGGTCATTGTCGAGAACCACATCAGCTGCCTCTGCCGTTGAGTTCCCACTGTCATGATCATGTGACTCTATCTTGACTCTACAGTGCGGCACAAAAGGGGTCGGGAAAGTCACGAAGGACGCCACCGACATCCCAAAAAGCACTGTGGCCACCTCGAGGATGCGAGAGCGCAAACCGCTCGGTACAGCGTGGAGCACGTACAGCCTCCGCAAGTCCGACGACGACTTAACAGGATGGGTCTACGCCGCTTTTACATTGACTGTGAGGCTATGCATGGCTATGCTGCACGCACTTGAAGGAGACTTGAGCCCGGGACCCAGCAGCATTGACCTCCGTACGCCCAGTCGATCTATGAGGAAGCCCAGGAGGAGGCCAACGCCTTGCTGCTATCCCCCCCCCTCCTCCCCATTAGAGTCCTCATCTTCCTAGATTCGATGGAGAAGCAGCGATGAGCTGTGTATCTAGGGTACCAGCCTGTGCAGGCAAAGCCATAGGCCCCATAAAGTCTTCCGGCTTCTTCGTCAGACATGCCGTACTCGTCTGAGACGTACGACCTTGCACAGTAGCTCGCCCATCAAGCGGCATGTGGCCACGATGGGCGGATCTGAGAGACTGGCACAAAGATGTAGGAGAAGCCATAGTAGGCTGTGATCTCTGCAGCCTGCGCTTATGGCAAAGTCATAGTAGCGCCACCCCCTTCATCAACACCAGACCAAGCTATCACAAGCTATTATTAAAACCTTGCATTCTGCGGGTGTGCTCTGCAGGACGCAAACTGGGAGAACAGCCTTGATCGAGAAAACCAGGAAGAGGTCGTAGGGTGCCTGCTCACAGCTTTCGCAGCACCGTGAAACTGTGTGTGTACGGAGCGGCTGTGAGGCAAGATGGCAAGAAGCACCGCTTGACCCTACGTAATTTATCCATAAAGAGCACCTGGAGCAAAGCAGCCGGTCCTTTCCACCTGGCGCAGTGGAGATCCGTTGACGAGGCCGGGCGGCCCAACACCCTATCGCGCTTCCTCAGGTAAGGCCCCCGGCCCTTTGCCGACCCAGCTCTCGGCCATCACAGCACTCTTCAGTTTCAGCTCGTCATTCTCCTCCCGCAGCCTCAAGGGAAGGTCTCAATCAAACACAAGAGTTCAACGACCACTTACCTACTTACTTACCTTACTTACTTACACAGCCTCTAAGACTCTACGGCCATGTGCATACGTGCATTCCCCAACAACCCGGTTGAAACAGTCAAGTCGGCGCATGACAATCAAAAGACATCTTTTCACTTCGACAGTTGCGACTAGTTGTGACAGCGCGTGCCGAGGCATGTTCCCCAGATGCGTGCCTGGTTGGCCTAACGCTTCCGGCCCGAGGCGCTTCGGAAAGTGTCAGCCCCACCAGCATCCAGGCCGGTGTCAGGAAAACACAGCATTCAGTACTCATGATGACCTTCAGCAAGGTTCTTACCGTGATCCCCTACTAAGCCAAACACACTTCACCTCAATGGCAGTGCAGTGCCGTTTGAGCCCCTGCTCCATCCACTCCCTTCCAGAGATGCCCAACCCGCGCAGCGTGCACTCACCAGAATCCATTTCCTTCATGCCACATAACTAGTTGTGTTCCGATCCTTCGCTTCTGAGCTTGTGGCCATGCCAACTGCAGCAAAATGCGCGAAACAGGGGTGCTTTACAAACGCATGTCATCTGCAGCTTAACCAGGCAAACGGAAGGCATCACAGCACAAATGATGCGGCAACTGCGGCAACCCATGCAATGCAGCCGACCTGGCAAGCTCGGTCAGTACTCCGGTGGCCAGCACGACCTGGGATTTGCATGATGTAACCTCCACATTCCACGGCGGCAACGAATTGCCCTGCCTGCAGTTCGCGCACCTGCGCCCGGAGCGTGGCATTCTCATCTCGTAACCTCCCAGGGCATTGACAAATTCATGTTGCCAGGCCCGCGAATATAGACATATATAGACGTAGCTGTCGGTCCTGCCTCTGCACTTCAGCAGCATCGTCCCCTGCACCTTGCTAGATCGACCCTCCGCTCGCAATGTACTCGATACCGCCGGAGATGCGATAGCCGCTAGAGGTTCCAAGTTCTCACCTTCCCTCACTGTGTATCAAGCCTTCAGGCACAATGGCCTTCTCATCCTCTCTCTCCCGCCGTTGCTCTCAATTCAACGCTGCTGGCTTAGGCTTGAGACCACCCCCGGCCGGAAATCTCTGCCTGTTCCGGCGTCCACTTGCTCGGTCTCGGAGGGAGTCACGACAGTCACGGCCGTCGCGGCACTCACGCCCTCCGCCCAGTCGTCCATGAGTGAGTCGAGGCCTGGCGTTGCTGGGCTTTGCTAGGCTTTAGGAGAGAGCCTCTCACAGTTCGTGCTTTCTCACATGCTCTAGAAGACTTCTTTTTAAGACCCTGCCTCGGATCCATAAGCGGGCACGCTTGGCACAGGGATTTGCATGGATCTGTGCGAAGAGAGATGTAGGGTGGTTGCTGGGTGCTTCTGGTACTGCTTTCCTTCGCTAGTCAAGGGATGTTGTTAGGTCGGTCTTGCAGCCTGCTAGACTGTGGGGTACGCCACCGAAGCGTTCAGAGGTTCATGCAGTGTCCGTCACGCACATCGTCGTGCAGCACGGGGCCGCGTAAGGCAGCAGGCTTATAACTCATATGGGCGATTGCTACCGCGATGTCGCATGCGTGCCATGTCTTTGAGCCTGGCTCTTGCTGCAGTCCATCTGCCGAATGATGAATAATGATGAACGATGAATGCATGCAAATGTGTGTGCAGCAGTGAGTCTCTAGTTTCCAAGGTACACACCCCACAGAAGTGGGACACGAGGTTGGCAAGGGAGTAGCCACCTACGGCTACAGACAGGGAAACACAATGCTGCAGTAATGCTTGCTTGCTACTTGCACGCTTGCTACTTGCAGCCGACCTTGCAGGCGCAGCGCGCGCGTTGCAAGGCCTGTGTCGAACCTGACACTGATTTCATTGCACTAAGTGAGACGCTAGAAATCTGATTCAAAGGGTTCGCGTTGGGCCAGGATAGGCTCCGGACATGTTCACCAAATAGACAGAGAAGTCACGCTGCAGCCAAAGTACATCACCTGGCACAGTCGACACGGCTACGGCATCCTGCTCACAACACAAGACTAGACGCTTCTCAGGCGCAGGAACACTCACGACTGCAGCGATCTCTGCAATGAGAGCCGAACGATCTGCACCGTGGAGGACTTTCACAATGCGCGGGTCAGAGAAGACCTTGCTTGCAGCACAAGCCGAACCAGTCCAACTGTTCAAGTGCTAGTAGTGTCATAGCGCACCTGATGCACAACACCAGCTTCTAAGGGATGCCTCATTCAGCATGTGCAGCTGCTCGAAGATATCAAAGGGATCGATTAGAAAGTCCTTTTTCCGAGTGGATACCTACACGGCATCAGACAAGGTGTGCTGAAGTCCAACTGGCTCTCACTCTCCGGTGCCTGTATCAGACACACGAAGCCACGAAATGACCTGGCTTGGGCCGGCTGTACGATTAGACTGAAGAACAGGAACAGGCCTGAGCAAGCGTGCCTGAAGTCATGGTGCTCAACATCTACGGCAATCTCGCTGCCAACGCAGGTTCCTTTGATCTCCTGCACGATCGGCACTCTCTTTGGTCCCGGTCTTCTGCTTTGTCCGATGTGTCATCTTCTCATGTCTCTTCTCCTCTTCGCACGTCCACCCCAGTGGTGACTTCTCGGTGTTTCTATCATTTCTATCCCAGGAAGAAATGGATTGAGAATATTTCGTCTTTTGCTCTCAGACCGCTGAGGCCACTCAGGTGGCTTGTCTTCTTCAACTTTCGTTCTCTCACTTTCCTCGTTCCTACCCTTCGCGCTTCAGGGCGATGAGGGGAACAAACAAGTCCGCGGCAAACACATCTTCACGCAGCAAAATCCTCCACCATCTCCTTCAGCTCTGCCTCTGTGCGAACCATGATCAATGGAGTATCCTGCAACAGGATGCAGAATCTTCACGAATGTTTCCATGAATTCCACGCCATGCATGCCTCCATACGATTGTAGCGTGTGGCAGGGCGCGGCCGAAAGAAATCGTCCGGCCAAGACAAAGCGCTGAGCTCCTGCCAAGATCTGGCAAAAATGGGCGAAGGATACCTGACCCGCCTGACCCTACGTCTTTTTGACCCGAGCTAACACCTTTGTCCTTTTTCTCTCTGCTGTGGAGCCGGGCTGTAGCTGGGCTGTCGGACTCATGCGCATGCCTCGGGCTGCGCCGAGACTGCCTCTGTGGCCAGGAGCGGCCCTCGCGCCGGTCCTCGTCTTGCGCGCTTCGTCAGCAGCGCCACGGTCGCCACCAGGGCCAACAAAGCCAAGATGGAGATGCCCAGGACACTTGTCACACCACTTCGCCCCATTGTGAATGCGAATGCGCCCAAGGCCTTCACAAGAAGGTCATGAGACTTTGCCATGTTCTCACATGTTCACATCTCTGCGAAAAAGGACAACTGAAACACTCTCTCACCAAGTACAAGCTTTTCTTCTCAAAAAGCATTCGATTTCAGGCCGCTCTCCTCCTCTTCTCCTTTTCTTCCTCTTTTTCTCTGCTGCTGAGCTCTCTCTCTCGCTCTCTCTCTCGTTGGTGGCTAATACCGCTCATTACGGCCCCCCGAGGGTCTTTGGGGAGGGGGGGGGGGGGGCCTTGTAACGTCCATTTCATAAAATTGGCAACCTGGCCCTAAGCATCGGTAGGATGTTTGACTTTTATGGAACAAGACACACGGTTACAAGCGTTCATGCCCTTGGCGAAAATGCCCAAAACACCGGCACTTACAGTTGCTTCTCTAAACAACCTATTCAGGAACAAAACCCTTGTATCAGCGTGATTCCCAACTAGTCCCACAAGAGACCCACGGTATTCACTGTTGGGAATACCCTCCGAGTTCAAAATCGTATAGGGTGTATGGCAGGGGAAATTCCAAGAAAATTCTGGTTTTTCGCGGTTTCGTCGGGTTGAAGAAGCAGCGCCGCTTAAAGCAATGTGCTCCGCCATTCTAGACAAAATGTTTAGGGGCTGGTTGCGAGAAAAAGGTGCCCGGCCCTAAATTACACCAGTTTTGACGCGGTGCTTCGGACACGGTCGCGTGATAGACCAAAAAAACTCATGATTCGCATGCATAGACGAAAATCTCAAAATTTGAATGCATAAGACAGTCACTTTAAATCCCAAACCTGCAAAAACACAGCTAGATAACAATCGCCTTCGACCGAAATGCAGTATCTGGGGGGACTCCATGATGACAAAGGCGCACGTCCGCATGTTGGGATACTCACACGGAATATGTAATATGTGCACATGACCCTTAGCGTTAATGGTGCTTGCAATAGGTCGTCAAGCACAGCAATACACACCTAAAGAGCGGGAAGGATATGAGAGGTAGGTTTTGTCGGACACAGTGTTCAAGTCCATGTGAGAAGCAAAGCTCCAGCAGACACCAGTTTTTGACATGTCTTGACTTCGGACACTGCAAACGACAAAAAAACAGCTCTGAAGGAAAAAGGCATACACGAAAACACTCAGAAATACATTCATGAGACAATCACTCTAAAATTCTAAGCCTTAAACAAGTACGTCCGTATATAGAGAATCGCACACGAAACATTTACCGCATACACATTATGGCGGGATTCAATCTAGAAAAAAGCATATAACTGTGGTTTGTCTAGGAAAGAGCCGAAAGTGCTGTAAATGCCAGATCACTCGTGCGCGAGTGTTACTCGCCAACCGGAATCGGCTCAGCCAAGTAGATCCATTGCATATAAGACATAGAGGCTGTGACAAACAAGCATACTTCATGACTACCAAGCGAAAACTATCGGTATTTACGGTGTTCTCAATAGGTCTCGAGCACAGCAATAGACAGCCACAGATAGTGAAAGTAAGAAAATATGAGAGGCAGTTTGTTGTTTTGTTTTCCTTTTTGGGGATGACCATAAAAATATAAGTAGAAAATATGTGGATATATATATATATATACACTGATATATATATATATCTCTCTCTCTCTCGCATGCATTCACATGCCATGCGCCCTCTCAAAATTCTCTCAACGAAGGGGCACAAGAAGAAGACGACCTCCCACGTTTCAAACCGTTGTCAAAAGATCATCCGGTCAGACTTCAAAAGCAGAAGCACATTCGGCCGGTTGCTGTAAGAGCGCCTGCGCCGCCCCGACAGAAGCTGGCACGTCTGACACCAATAGCTCTTCATCCGGAATCCACGGAAGCTGGCATACGCCATGCTTCGAAGGCTTCTGCTTTGCATATCTCTGCATCTCGTCGTGTGTGGCCACGTAGTCCTGGCCTGGGTCTGCTGCTGTGGCTACGCGGCTAACTCCCCAGGACTACAGCACCCCTCTCCACGAGTTCCTTGATCCCGAGCACCCAAAACCTTTGGCACATGGAGCATCTCGTGTCCCGCGCCTGTGCGCAAGGTGAAGTCTCTCGGGAGCTCTTGTCTCAAGCGCATGCCGGCTCGCGGTGGCATTGGGCACTGCTGCGGAAAGGCATGGTGAAGCCACTGTGCGAAAAGGCGGCCGTGCAGCGCCACCAACCCATCCGAGGGTGCCTCAGAGAACGTGGGACAAGGCTAGACAAACGACATCAAACGACTGTTCGAGCAGGACCCCATTCTCCCGTGCTTACTTGCCAAGTGGCCTGGAAGTTTTCCAAGGGCCGCGCAGCTGCGCTGGGGGGCGTGACCGCCGTGGCCGCCACCGCCGCCATCACGTCCTCCAGGCGATGCCACACCCCTGAACAAAATTCAACACACAGCCAGCAACCCTGGCAACCCCAGTTTTTTTTTTTCTTTTTTTTCTCTGTGCTCTATGCTGCCAGTTACCTTGGCATCCCTGCCAAGGTTCTTGCCAAAGTCCTTGCCAAAATATGTTCTGGGGCAATTCGGAGATGAACGTTGGTTTTTGAGGATGTTTGACACAGTGAGACATTCTAGGATATCTAGGACTCTGGTTTCTGCGGGACCCCGAACCCTGAAGCCCGTCTTTCGGAGTGGCCCGCGGAGCCGCCAGCGCCTTCTCGAGCTGAGCCTCACATGGCTACTCACGTGTACACTTTTGCAGTTTTGCACACATAGCAACTCTGTTGAGCAATTGCTGCTGCCATCTGCAGTCGAAGCTCCATGAGCTGATCACAAGGGTCCACGCAGCACTGGGCATAGAAACGAGACGTGCCAACGCAGTTCGAGGCCCCCAAGACGTAGTTGGATACCACCACGCGCGGGTCACTCTCACTCTCGTCCAACGCTCCCAGATCTCGCAGGTACTGAACCTTACGACTTGCGAGCAAGACAAATTCTAGAACAGAAGAGAAGACCCTGTGTTCGACCATGCCCTAATCTTGTGCTGTTGATACCGTGCACAGAAGGGGACATGCAACAGATCACGTGGAGAATAGCACATGTCTTCGCACAGAGTTTTGGATGACAGTGGCAATGGCCTGGTCCTGAGAAGCGGACGCTCTCGCTGAACTGCCAGCGGTCCTCGTACAGAGACGCCGCGTAGAAGCGCGAGAGATCGACCCGACCAGGGCAGGTGCCCTCCATCTTGAACAAGACTTTCTTCATGTCTGCACAATCGCTTTCGTCATGCCATCGGCCGTAGTGCTCGTTGATCTCTTCTACAATGTGCGTGACATCCTCGAAGCTCAGGCTGCCTTTCCGAGAAGGTGCCACAACTTCCTCCAGCTGGCATGTAGATCAAACTCACAGCTCCAAACCTCTGCTTATAATATACACCGCGTTTCAGAGACCGTCCTGAATGTCGTGGATGAACTTCTGCGTCTTGGGCCAAGATGGATAGACATCCTCCATTGGAAGCCTTCCTGACTGGTACTCGCTGACATCTTCCGCAGCGAGGTTCGTGCCGTCGAGGTTCGCCACCTTACCAGACGTCACGGCACATGAAAAGAGGGGGGGCTAGTTGCGGCTCATTAGAAGAGTCTTCAATCCCCCGAGACGACTTTCACAAGCATGTTGAAGCCCTCTTTGAGCCCTCCATGAGCCCTCCTGAGAGAGCCTCCAGAATGTAGCTCCTCATCACGTATTCCAACACAGCGGTCACCTTCTCCACGCTGACGCGCCCCACCAGAGGCACGTTATTTGCCTTGAACGCGCTGGCCACACGATGCATCGTCTCACGGTGCACCTTTCTTGGCACAGGGAGGCAGCAAGAATTTGTTGAGAGACATCTGAAATTGAGCCATTGAACTTGATCTGGCAGTCACTTCCATTAAGCCCTAGACCAGGCGTCGACTTAAGGTTCGACTGTGCAAGCAAGGTGCAAGGTCTTCCAACAGGGCGGCAAGGGTCGCAAGCTCCCGCAGGCAAAGCCCGCGTTGCCTTCCGGAAACACTTTGTAAAACGCGCAGCAAATCGACAGCAAAGCCACCCCCCCCCCCCCCGGAATCAACATGTGTTGGTCGAAGGACCTGTGTGAGAACCTGATTTTGGGGTGCTCGCCAGGCTTGGAGTTGAGTGTCGCCTCTTTGGACACGCCGCGCATGCACCTCAGGCACCTCAGGCACCTACGCCACCGCACCGCCAACGCCGTGATCCGTGGTGCCGCGTGGAGTGGCGCCGCAGCGGTGCGTTGGTGCAGCGGTGCGGTGGCGTGACCCAAGTACTGTCCGCGCCCGGCCCAAAAGGAGTCTGCGAGTTGTTGAAGACCAACAGTAAAGAAGATGTCAGCAGTGAACCCTACCGGCAGCTAAAGCATAAAGCCATAACATGTCCCAGATCATTTTGGGCTGACTCCTGTTGTACGACATTGTCCAGCAACCTACAGCTGTCCCTAAGCAGTTTTCAACGTACCTGCCTGAGGAGCACCTCGAAGAGGGCCGTTACAGCTTCAGGCACTTGGTCTTGGAGAATCGAAACTGGCGAGTCCGAGGATGTACTCGTGGTTCCGTTCGGATGACCTGAGACTCATCGCCAAGGCTTTCCACCCTACCAAGCAAAATCATCGTGAGCCAAGCCTAGCGCAACGACTAGCACGATTCGAACGAGCCAAATGCACCAAATTCGGGCCGGTCGGCGCGATGGGTCCAACTCTTGCAGGCCTTTCACAAACCAGCCCCGTTCCTGCACGAAGACTCGGTGGAGGGCATAACGCCCTGCTGCCGGGCCCAGGCAGCCTCCAGGAGACTTGGGCAGGGCCTGAGACAGCAACAGTCGAAACCCATCAACGCTTGATCTGTTAAATGTAACTGATAAACTCTGAAAGCCTGAACACTTCCAAGCGGACTCTGAAGGTCTGAAGGCAGAATCGCATGACATCCTACACAAAAGCACTACGCCACCATGCCCCATCGCAAAGCAGTGACGCAGCATTTCCAAGCCCAAGTCGGATAGTGCTGAACAAGTGCGAGAAGCCTGGACAATGGGCCTAAGGACAGCCTCGAGCGGCAGCGCGCGCCGCTCCACCGTGGCGGCACGCTGCGCTCCCAGCTGCTCCGAGAGATCTGCGCAACACCACAAGAAGCTTGGAGCACTCTTTTCCGTTGCAGGTCACCGCTTCCTGAAAAGCTTAGCGGAGTCCTTCCAGCTTTTGGCACTCCCCGTAACGGCCCAGGGAAGATAAGCTAAACATTGTAAGACACACCTATGTGCCATTGGGATGCTCAGGGAGCCTGATGCAAAGGGACTCCATGGCAAGCCGAGGCCTTATTCTGTGCCATTTCACTATTTTTGCCCGCGACCTATACTATGGGAGAAAGAAAAACACGAGAGGCTGCGGCCCGCTGTGGCCTTCGATGAGAGTCGCAGATGCAAGCGCGAGCGCGGCAATGAGATATGCAAGTACAACCTGCAAGCAGATTTCAGAAAGCACCCCACACAGTGTCACGAAGTGACAGCAGACAGACAAACTGAGAACTCTGCACGCATGGTGTTGGAAAGGCCTGAACCCTGAGAATGGCTGTAGTTTGAGCCAAGATTGCTCGCATACATGAAACAAGTTTTTCTGGTGCAGCGGGACAGCAACCTGCACCCTCGAATACGTGTCCTCGTCGTATGGATGGGGCAAAGGCTCCTGCAATGGGCCGCATTGATGAACAGGTGGCACCGGCTGTACATGAACAAACATGCTACGCGCACAAGCTGCAAGGTCGCTTTAAGTTTTGTTCACGGCCACGCTCCCTGACATAATGCTACTGGCAGCACATATTCGTACCCCCCCCCTACCCCCCTCGTGCATTGGCACCTCAGAAACCGTGGTCTGCTCTGGTGTGAGATTTCGGACGGCCCCAGGCCGGATGCCGACCTCACCACTGAACACATTCTTCTGGCAACTTTGCTGCTGCAGATGCTACTGTGACACGTGACATCTGCATCCGGTGTGTGAGTGTGCATCCCGCGGCCTTGCACTGAGCCTCCACAAGCTTTGGGCTCAACGGCGTCTGCTCGTTGTGCTTGACCAGCAGTCTGCCCGATTCTGTGCCAGTGAACGTGGGCTGCTGCATCCCCTGCTGCATCCTTCATGAGCCCTTGACATTCACGACATGGGCCTTGGCACGAAACGTGTCCGGTGGTTGTCCACCAGCTGACGCCATCGCACCTGCCCGCAGCAACAAAAAGAGACCTACAAGGGACCAACATGACAACATGACAACATACCAACGATGCACAAAGTTACACAACAACTCAAGCCGACTCTGGCACGCATCGCACCTGTGGCTTGGCCGTGCGGGCAACGTGCGAACCTGTCAACAACATGCTACCATGTGAACTTGCATTCATCATTGCCGATGTCAGATCAGCCCCCCTCCCCTTATCCATCCACTCCCAGGGACAAGGCACTCAGGAATTCCCCTCTTGAATACAGCTCCAGCCCTCCTTAACCGTGCGTCCAAAGCGCCCCAGAACTGCAAGTGTCCCTGAAGAAACTGGTGTCAGATGGTGTCAGGAACTGCACGCTACCAATATTGGTCCCCTGGGGTCAGAAAATAACAGGGAGGCTCTCCTTCGGAGCAGAGCGGGCTTGTCTCAATGGGCAGAGATAAACTAGTCAGACTCACCTACAAGCCGGGAGAGCAGGAAGGATAAGAGCAGAATTACGTAAATCGACTCTCGCTTTGCAAGTGGCCTGTTGAGGGGGTCGGCGCAGGCTCCTCCTCCTCCACTTCCTCCACACAAGAGGCAGGACAAGTGGCAGACAAGATGCAGAATGCTGCTGGACTGTCTGCTTGTCTTGCTTGCTTGCTTATGACTCGTCTTGTAAAGTTGCACTAGCTCAGGGCCGGTGGAAGATACATCTGCGCCAACAGGATCTTCTTTTGCGTGACTCATGATACTTCTGGGCACAGTGTCCATCAACCGACCCCGAAGCCGGCGACTGCAACGGGAGGAGGCCTCTCCCTGCTTGCCAGACTTGGCATCCCTGGACGAGAGAGGTGGATACGTCGGCAGGCACACTAGGGCCCCGCTGCCAAAGATGCTCGCACCTGAGATTTCCATCAACCTTTTCCAGCGCATCATCAATGCTGTCTACCAGGAGGTTGAAGTTCTTCAAGTCCTTGTGAAGCAAGCGTTGAAAGAATTTCCCAAGCCTGAGTGTGGGATCTGGTCGGACGATGCTTTTTTCTTGCTCGTATGCATCATGAAGCCTCTGTTGCAGGGGTTGTCATGAAATGAGCCCTCTTGCCGGCACTTCTTTGGCACGGCCTGTACATAAACCCACGCGGCTCAATGCAAAAGGCTGCTACGAGATTCAATTGTTAAACAACACCTTAGCTGCGCTGGCAAAAAGATGCGGCAAAAAACAGATTTAAAAACAAAGACTCCCTTGGGTCCGTTTCCGAGAGAAGACTTCGGCCAGGCTGCCCTTCTCGCGGAGCTGGGCAATCTCCTGGGCGCTGAAGCCAGCACCAGAGAGGAGGGCATCCGTGTGCTCACCCAAGCCGGGCGGAGGCTGTCTGTACGAGCAGGGCGTCCTTAGAAAGGGCGGGCGCGCTTCGGCTTTGCCAGCTTTGGAAGCTTTGAGCATTTGGCACATTTGAGCTGCACAATGGGAGAGTCCCAGTCGACGATGTTTGACCATGTTTGAGCCCCCTTCTCCCCAAAAGATCCCCCAAGGTTTGCAGCGAGCAGCGAAGAGAACTTCAGGGGCGAGGCCACCAACTTGGCCGGGGCATGGCCTTTTGTGGAGCAAAGTGGAGCAAGCCACTGCGCATGAGAAAGCCGCCCAAGTGACCGGCCTTCAACCGGCATCTCGATCACCATCTCTCGCCTTAAGTCACGGTCAGGCTTTGCGAACTTCACTGAACTAAAGACCGCCTGTCTTCTTTTGGAACCAAGGTTTTTGAGGTTTCTAAGAGCCATCTGCCAAGTGTCGCCTTGACCTGCGGATCATCGAAAACCTCCTGTCGGGTCAAGCGCAGCTTTTCGGTCTCCTAAGTCCTGGGCACCCCGAAGGATTCTAAATAAGCACTCCTGCAAGTTCTTGATCGGAGAGCAGCCGATGCTGGCATGTTCCAACTCACGCAACCACCAATCCACGGGCTTCTTCCTGCAAACACAAGTTCAAAAGTTTCAAAAGTTCAAAAGTTCACCAAAGAAGCAGTGCGGAAGCAAGGTGGTTTCGGATGCGGTCCGCGTGATGGCATTGCAGGTCTCGGTCACCAGCTTCCTATCATGGTGCAGGCGATCGAGTCTCCCACAAAAAGTAGACTTGAGGTAAAGAGCAAAGGAGACTTGTCTGGGGCGCTCCCCTTTCTGCAATTCTGTAATTGTTGCGAGTTACCATTAGTTACCATGTGCTACCATTTGCCAAGACTCCGGTGAGCCACCCGCGCCGGCTGGGAGTTGAAGCGGTCATCCGAAAGCAGGGCAGGGGCGCCCGCTGTCGGGTCGGCCTCCAGCAAAAACGATTTTTGCCCCCTCTCGCCCTCTCGCCCTATCTCCTCCTCTCTCCTTTTCTCCATCTGGCCTCCCTCCTTATCTCAGATCTCCTTCCTCCTGCCTCCTCCCGGCCTTGTCCGCCACACGAACGAAGCGCTCGAAGGTCGGGTCGTTGCCGACGGCCAGGATGAAGTATCCGTCCGAGGCCGGCATGACCTCCAATAGGCTGCCAACACCCGACTGCAACAAGCCTCATAAGTTAGGCACAGCTCAGCACAGGCATTTAAGGTCCGAGCTTGGTATGGGACGATGTTGGGATGCTGGTTGCCCAGCCGCTCTGGTAGCTTGCCCGTTGACAAGAAGTTGCTAGCCTGGTTCGCCAGCATCGCCTGACTCTCAGAAAACGTCACAAGGAACCCTCTTCCCCATGGACTCCCTCGTCTGCTGATGACGCAAGGGCTCTCGCTGTGGACACATCCAGCATCCCGATGTCCTCACTGAGTTCGCGGAAAAAGCCCAGGTAGCGCATCAGACACGACGCATTCATGCCTTCCAAGCATCCACGTGCTGCCCTTCTCCTGTCACGGCTGCATGGCGAAGCGCGGCAAGAATGCCAATCACCTCAAACATATCACTGCGTTCCAAACACCTCCAGGCTCAATCAGGCACCCGGCAAGCACCCTACCCTTCTGCCCAGGTGCGCCGTGGAGGCCAGCAAAGAGATCATGGATTGGAACTCCAACCTTCCCCCAGCAACATCTGCGAAATTCTACGAATCTGCCCTCATTCTTTCCTTGCCGGAAGCTCTGCCTTTGAGGGTTCAGTTCGGAACTCTTCAAGACTCTCCGACCTTCATCGGCTCACCGTCCACCTCGCCGGTCACGCTCATGAAGCCACCCATCGCCTCATGGGCATGTGCACATGCTGAGATCGTCACACCTTATGTCACCGTCTTGCTCAGGGGCCCCCCCCACCTGGACAAGTGCATCGTATCCAGGCCGAGGGCCTCAGACAGGCTGGCCGCGGTAAAGCCCGAAGGCCGTTCTCGGAACTTTGCCAAAAGCGATGGTGCGCCATATGCGGTGCCATATGAATGGAAAAGCTCTTCAGCGAATCAAAAGAGACGAGGGGACTGTAGGGTCCCGTTTGCCCAAAGCCAGTGATGGAGCAGTAGACCAAGGATGGGAATCTGTCTCGCAGATCACCATAGCCTTGCACAGGCACTAGGCGCTGGGAGGCAGCCCAATCGTGCCGCCCAGTAACGAATCAAAGTGCAAATCAAAGTGACCGAGCCCATACTTCTCCAAGGTCCCCGTCTTGAAGTTCTCCACCAGCACGTCGCTGCTCTTCAAGAGGCGGCGGAGGATCTCCTGAGAAAAGAGGGCACACAGGCTGCGTGAGGCTCAGCAAAGCACCACAACAGAGCCTACGCTTAGCCTCTTTGGGCGTCCTGGCCCTCTGGCATGGTGTAATTCACGGTCACGGATGCCTTGTTGCGGTTCTGTGCTGCAAAATAAGCAGCCATGGACTTCGTCTCCTCAGAACTCCCACAGGAGCAACGAGAACTCTGACAAGCACGTTACGCGCCCGTTACAGTAAGCGCGCGAATCCTTGGGGCCCATCCTGGCCTGGAGGCACACTCCTCCTCTCTTCCCCCTCTGTTTCCATCTTTCCCGTTTCTGAGTTCTTTCGAGACGCATGTTTGTGGGACCTCCCCTTCCTTTGCATTGGGCTTAGGCCCCCTGCAATCGCAGAGCATGGAGACCCCGGTTTGACTGCCCGTAGTGAAAAGACGTGGTCCGTCTGGTCCGGACTATTTCTCCCCTCTTTCGTGACCACTGGGCTGGAAATTGGGGCACTGCAGTCCAAGTTCGGAAGAGATTGCTCTAGTTAAGAACTAGGTCCCAAAGCTGGACACTACAATTGGAAATTCTAACACGCCATCCCACAAGATCCATCCCTAACGTAGTTTCTGACTTTCTTTCGATGAGTTGCACGAAAAAACTTTCCGAGCGGAAATTCAACATTATCGCGAGTCATGCACGCAAGCCTAGAAGCATGCGCGGCCCACCGATTAGAACAATGGTTGGGGTCAAGCGAGAATCGCAAATCAGGCATCTCTCCCTCTCCCTGCTCTCCTCCGCCGCGCCAGGAAGAAAGGGAGGTGCGAAGCCACGGGTGTCGTCGCCCACCAAAGGCCGCTCGACCTTCGTCACTTCCGCGCCCAAATCTCCGAGGACTTGGGTACATGAGGGTCCTCCAAGAGCATGTATCAAAGATGTGCAAACATCTTAGCAGATTCTTAGTATTTCAAAGACAATGACATGCACTTCATGCTCGTCACGCGCGTGCAATAGTCGCTACAGAGAAAATCAAGAAGCAGTCCTGCGAGCACCCGAGTCATGTCTAGCACTCGCACGCCTGTCGACAAGTGCGCTGCCTCAATAGTCAAAAGTATCTGGCAAGAGTGCGACGCGCGCCTGCCAGAGGACCAGGGGAGCTGGAGAACAAGCGGAGGGCCCGCATCGCGGCCATGGCCTTCGGTGGAAACCGCTTCTCTGACGCAGCTTTTTTGAGGGGCCACCATGCAAATGCGCCACATTTGTCCGGCCTGGCCGGCCGAGCGCGCTCCGTAAGCCGCATACATCATGGCGCTTTGTAGTTCGTAGCTAGATACCAATAGCTGGTTCTGAACCGCGCTTGTTGCTTGCAATGGCTGCTGGCAACTAATTACACTGGGAAGATGAAATCTTTCAGTGCAGCATTCGCATCATTGGCATACGGGTGTACAGTGGCATACAGTGACATTTACAATCACACCGCGTAGCTGCATTTCGCAGTTTCACAAGCCAAAGGTCCAGGCATCCGGAGCCACCGTGCAAGAGCCTCCGAAGCCTCCGAAGCCCTGTGCAGCCCGGTCCTCCGGCTTCGATCCCTGGTGCAGCGACTGCGCCAAGAAGCAGAAGATCTGGTGAGCCTCGAAGACTCGGAAAAAAAAAAAAAGGAACAGAGGTCCTCATAAGAAAAGGGAGCAAGAGAAAGGAAAGCAGAAACACAGAAGGGGTGCCCTCAGCGACAGCGAGGGTAAACCATGGCAAAACATTATCAAAAAAAGCCAAACAACACCGCTGCGGCCGAGGCGCGGCTCCCAGGGAGCGCTCGCCCAGGTCCCGAGAGGAGGCCAAGAAGTCCCGGGATCCCCTCACCGTGAGAAGCCGAAACATACCGGAACATTGAATGCGAGGAGGACTCGAGGCCGCTTTCTCGAAGATATGATCAGTCGACACGAAACGAAGCTTATCGCGCCAGGCTAAATGCCTTCAAACTGAGAGCCTTGTAGCCCGTGAAAGCAGCGTGCCGGGAGCGTTTCAACATTGCTTGAGAGCCGGGAGGCCTTTTCATTAAAAGGTTCGCATGTTTTGTCCTCGTATGCTTCATATTTAATGTTTCTTTACACACACGGCAGGGCTGTTTCAGAAACCCAAGTGATCCGAAGGATGCCAGTGTTGCAGAGCCTCGAAGATCGGCCAGGGCCAGGACTGAAAATTCTGAGGGATCTTGGGTGGCTGCGTTCTCTGGGGCCTCCACGTTGTCCAATGGGCGCACAATAAGGTTTAGGCTTTATAGGAATGGTGGAGGTGGAGTGGCTCAGGAGCTCTCTAGGATCCGTGTCAGCAGCAGCCGTGCGACCCAAGAGCGAAAACAATGAATAAAGGTAAATGCATGATTGGAATGACACAAGAAAGATTGCTGGCAGCATTCCTGGCCACAGGCAAAAAAGATCGAACACACAAAAGGTGACTGGCAAGGCTGGTGTCCTGCCTGCGACCCCACTTGTCGTGCCGGGCATGCGAGGCGATAGAACCCAAAGTATTGTTCATGGCGAACCGACAGAAGCGAATTTACCTCCAGTTTACCTACATCACAACGCGAAACCCCGCTGCCGCATGCCGCATGCCGCATGCCGCATGCCGTATGACGCATGCCACATGACGCATGCCGCATGCCGGTTCCTCCGGATGGCATGTTCTTCTCCTTGCGGCAGAAGCCTGGAGTAGCGCCTCACTCAGAAACACGAGAAGAGCAATGAAGCCAAGGTTGTTGTCTCCGGCTCAGTGGGCTCAGTTGGCCAAGGCCCGGGCACCAGCTCCACCATTTGGGGCAGCAGCTTTTCGACGAAACCCGGCTCCAGGCCCTTGCGGACCAGCGCCTCTGAGAAACCGACAGGCGTACACAACTCGCACTCTTTCACAACACCCACAAGCCTCGTCCACCGAAGTACTATTTTTCATCGCCATGTTCAGCTAAGGCAACGCAAGCTGAATGGGAACTTGGGTGACTGGTACAAGTTGTGAAGTACTAACAGCGAAGAAGCTAAGCAAGGCAGCCACGGAAGGGTGTAACAACCTAAGGTCAACTTATAGCGAGGCTTCTGTAGCTTGTGACACCCTAAGAACTGATCTCCACACCTTTCAGCTCAATGTGCTGTTAGGTTGTGCCAGAGCCCCAAGGCGAGCAATCATGTTCTCACATCGAAGAGCCTGAGAAGTTGAAGCCTTCCACCTCTTGGGGAACCCCCACGCAAGCTCCACGCCCTGCACAAATCCAAAACCACAAGCTGCAGGCCGGCTTTTTCCCGCGCTGCGGCTGATCTCAACCAGTGGATACCAGTGGCAAACTGTGGCGGGGGTCTCGAATGGTGCATGAATGAAAAATCCTTCTTCGCATTCAAGCACCATAAGTCGCTTCACGGGTCGTCTTTTAGTAGCCACTGCACCCCAAAACCCTGCAGCTTGGTGAGACTGTTGGTGGGAATGGGCCAACGGGAAAGCAGGAGGGAGCATTCCGGTAATTGCGCGGCGATCAGTTTCTTCAGTCACTACTTGGAAAAAGCAGCGACAGCCAGCTTTGGTGGAGAGTCTGCGAACTTCTCCTTTACCGCTCGATGTCCAGTCTTTTCCAAATCAGCGCTCGAGACCACCCTCCTCCTCTTCACGTGGCTCGGTATGTGAAGAGAGTGGGGTCACTGAACAGCACCTGTCCGCTCCTCCACCTCGTCTTCTGGGAGCACGGGCGGCAGCTGGCTGCAGTTCGACTCGCTGATGGTGAACCGCGGTTGCGTCTCGGAAGCAGCTCCTTGAAATGCCACACCCCTTGCACCACCTGGAAGCTGCCCTCCGCATCTTGAGGCTGGGGAGGATCTTGCGACTCCTCGCACGATCTGTTTACCGAAAACCTGATGGAGGAGCCGAGTCGTGACGTCGACGCCGGCGTATACCACTTGCTGCAGGAGCCTCGGAGCGTCGGCTTTCAGAATCAGAATATTGAGCAAATAACATGCGTGTGCTCCCACGCTCACTCAAAACACCGACCGAAGTGATGCCATGCAACACATGGGCTTTCGTCGCATTCTGCATCCGCACCTCAGAGCGGCTTGGAAAACTAACGCAACTCTCGTAGAATACTCAATATTCTAATCACACGACCATAAAGGGTTCCTGGGCTTCCTTTCTTCGTGGGGGTTCGGTTCCATTTGCCACGGCACCGCACTCGGCGACACATGCTGCCTCCGGCGCCTCGCAATGGCTGTCGGCGCCGCAGCGCGGTGGGGGTGCCCAGGCGGCCGGCGCCGGTGCCGGCGCTGGCGGCGCCCGCTGTTGTGCCCGCGGTGGTGCCCGCGGCGCAAGGGACTCGGCAAGTTTCAGGAGGCCCCGCGGGTTGCCGCGCAAGGAAGCCACACCTAGGCAGTCATTTTGAGTGAGGACCCAACAACTTGCACAGTTCGGCTGCTGTACTCTGCCACTTTGAATCCTCAGCTTTCAGTATCTGTCGGCTTGAAGCTGCACTTTCCTCCTACACAGACGCCAAGTGCCCCGGCAAGGGTGGGCAGCCAACAGGGACAGGACCTCCGTGCGATTTTCATCGCAGACCACGACGTGGGCCCCACGTCCTCCTCATGTGAAGCAAGCAGAAATACTACCAAAGGTGCCGCATGCGTTCTTCTGCCTACAGACAGGGCGCAGCAAGTATGAGAACGAATCACTGGTATCTCAAAGTACCTTTTGGCTCAGAAAGGTTGAGCCTTGCATTCAGCCCAATATGTTGCTGCGAGATATATGTATGTATGTATGTATGTATGTATGTATGTATGTATGTATGTATGTATGTATGTATGTATGTAATGTATGTATGTATGTATGTATGTATGTATATATTTATCTATTTAGTTGCTTATTTTTTATTTTTATTGTTATCTATTTATTTATGTGTGTATGTACTGTATTACTGTATGTTTTGAAGACAATTGCGAGCAGCATTCCAAATCTCATCTATGTCCGTGGTGGCTTACAAAACCCAAGAACTGTCATAGGCCGAAGATTCAACACCAATCAGATCCCGTGCAAAATGACAAACCAGTGAAGATTTGTTCGGTTTCCTTAAACAGCGATTGTTTGCAATGGACAGACTGCAAAAACTTACAAGGTACTGCAAATACGTGGTCGTCGTCTTGTTTTGTAGGCAAGAGATGGCCGGTCCTGACTCAGCTTTAAAGGGATCGATTTCATGCCAAAGCAAAGGTCGGGGAGCCTGAGTCTGAATGCATCTGCCGAAATCACTTGCAAACAAAAGGAAACATGGAAGAAACAAGCACAGTGAGGCCCGAGCTCTCCTTAGAAGGAGGCGGGCGGCCTCAAACGGCTGCAGGCCCAACAGGTCCTGTCGACCCCCGGTTGTAAGCCCTGCAAGTCCTAGTGGTGCGCTCAAAATTGGTACTGACCGTGGTTCAACGAAGTTCACATTGCGCAGTCTTGCTGCACCACTTTCACTCGGATGTCAGCGGTGATGGGCAGGCCTTACCGACATCCCACAACTGAGGTGGACTTTCAAAGTTCATTCACGAAGATGCAGAGATTCTGCAGGCCCAAGGCTGAGGACATAGCGATGCATCGTGCTTAGCACAATGTGAACAAACGGGCCTGAGGACAATGTTGGAGTCAAGTGACCACAAGGCTGCTGAGCATCACGCGACGACATGCGCCAACATGGGCCAACCATGCGCCAACATCGCGAACTATGCCGAGCCACAGCTCTGCAGCAAGCCATCAAGAGCATTCAAGAAGTCGGATCCCTGCGCGGGACCATCCTCAGCACATTCATGTATTCGCACAGGAAAAGTAAACTCAAGTGACTCAAGTGCTTTCCAGGCACAGCATCGTCCAGCAGCAGCACCATGCGCCCACCTCAGTGACTGGGGGAGGCTCAGTCCATGTTTACTGCAACGGCAACTTCTTTGCGAGTCTTCTGAACTACCTGAGTCCTCTGCTTAAAGCGCCAAACCTTGCAGGGCAAAGGCGTCGCAGTGGGCCTGAGGGAACGCGTGCCCTCACGTGCCTCATGCCTCATTGCAGCCTCATTGCCTATGTGTTCTCTGGGGAGCCGACGCGTCAGCGCCCAAAACTTTTTCAGGCTGGCCACGAGGCCATGCCAAGGTTCCACCTGTCACCATGTTGTGCCCGAACTGTTCTGTGCAATGAGCTGCCATGCTGCGCCAGAAACTCTATGCAAAGCACCTGCTTCTCATCTGATTCTCGCTTCTTCACAGATCCTGACCTGTGCAGCAACTTTGGGACAAGTGACTCCGCGGTCTCATGTTATCACAGCTAAACAGTACCGGTACTGGAGGGCGGACAAGCTCTGCGAGCAGATCACGCGCAACTTCCTCGAAGAGGAGCGAGCACGAAGCCACCTGGCGTGCGCTGATGACTCTGTGACGACTCTGCTGTGCCGCACGTTCTCGGGCCTATTGAGCTTCTCCGTTGCTCTCAGGACCACTGCCTGGCCAGATGCTGACAGAAGATCTGACTGCTGAGGCGCAACACAACATGGACAAATGGCCTGGACAGTCCTCATCCACCCCGTGGCTCCAGCCTGCACGACAGAGGGAGCCAGCTGGCGAATGTCAAGCAGTATGTTTTTGAAGTCAGGGGGCTTATCCAGGAGAGCTTGCCAGAGGCGATGCTCCGAAGAAGAGGGCTTAGGGCTTTGAGCACACCATAGAGGAGCACCATAGAGGAGCGGGTATGCGCCTTTCAGCATGTCGAACTGGCATGAAGTTCATGCATCTACCTTTACCAAAGGAAAGCCAGACAGCTGAATCTGATGTGATCCAATTTCTGAGCGCAACGAGCCCCGTATGGGAGCATGTAGGTTGATGTGTATCTGGAGTGACGAAGGAGAGATGACCAAGTGCCATCTGTTTTGTGAGTATGTGAGGGGCGTCTGGCTCTCTGGCAGCTCTCGCTGACTCTACCCGACACGCCCAATTTGTCACAATGTCCTAGCCGTCCTAGCCCCATACCCACTCCTGATCACTCCTGCTCCCGTGGAAGCCAAGACAAAAAACAAGATAGGGATGTCGAGGCAAGACCCCAGAAACCAAGAAGTGCTCCGTGTCAGTTCCCAGCCTCCACCAGCCCCGCCGCAAGGCAAACGGCACCGCCCTGCAGAGTTGCGCAGATGTGCACGGCATCCAAAACCTTGGCCAACGCTTGGCAGCTGCAGTGTCTCACCAAATACTTGGGCTTAATGCATCTTAAAGTGCTGACCCTCGCTTCCTTGCAAGGTCCCTGCGGCTGATCTTCCAACGCCTTGGTCGCCTCTTGAACATAGTACCAGACACCGCCTGCAGACACAAGCGAACCCTGTGCCCCTGTGTGCTGCTGCGATCTCCGATCAAGGGGCGCTACACGGCCTGTTCTTGAGAATCTGCAGGGCGCTCCAAACGTCAGCCCATCGTCCGCAGAAATCCTGACACAAAGATCCCCGCCATGTTTGTTGCGATATGTTGCATTATGTTGCAATCTGTGGCAACATGCCGGACAATTGGCCGGGAGCCTCTGGTAAAGTAGGCAGCGGGGCACATGCCTCCATGCCCCGAAGCCGTGCCTCACGCCGCGACCCCCCGACATCTCCCCCGGCCCTAACCTCCAGTAGAACTTTAAAATTGACGTTGACTGTTGCTTTTGAGATTGCTTGAGGCTCTGATCTGAGCTGGCCACCGTGCGAGAAGCCTTGGAACAGATCGGGTCGTCGTTGCGGAGCCTGGCGTGATCCGGAGAGCGACCTCTCAAGGCCCAAAGCGGGGCCTCCCCCAGGGGCCTTGTGCTGTCCTGCCCCCATGTCGCTGACTCTTCACGGTCTTCATGGTCTTCGCGCTGCCAGCTCCTTGGGGCGAGCTGACATCATCCTCTGCCTTTGCAGCGCAGCGCATCTCAGCATCTCCGGCCTCTCAGGGTCACAAGGCTTCCGGAGCGACTGGAGCCGGCGCGATGACGGCGATGCTGCCGCAAAGCTCCTGCAGCCAAAAAAAGCCCCAAAAGCGCGGTGCCACGGCGGATCATGGCCATCCTCTTGCACATCTCCCCGTCGGGCCTGCTGGCGCTCATACGAGTGGCCTGAATGGAGGTAGCTGATCCTTAGTTCAGTCGTTGCGACTGTTGCAAGCGTTCGATCTCGCTCCCTAGTTCTGCCATGTATACAAGGGCATCCCTGGAACGTCAAAGGGGTCATCCTTTTTTATTCCATTGAGCCAGCTCTGGCACGACGCCCTGGAGGCATCGTCGATCGGGATGCAGCACTCAAGCGCATCCTGCAGGTCGTGCGGAAGAGGGCAGTCTGCTTGCAGAGCCTCGCCATGCAGCTTGACTCCTAGAGACGAGGAGTGCAAGAAGATCCTGGGCAGCCAGGCTCGGCTTTCACTGCTCCCGTAGAGGACGTCGCCCAGAAGAGGATGGCCAAGGCTGCTTAGCTGGGCGCGGATTTGGTGCATGCGGCCAGTGCGGAGCCGTATCTTCACCAGGCTGATTGGTGTTCCATCGGGGCCGCGGAGGTGCGAGGTTCCCAGAATTTCCAGAAGAGCGCGCTGGCCACGTGAACCGATTGTGCTGCGGAGCTGGGGCCCTGAGCCCTCCACAATCAATTTCATGTCAAGCACTCTCGGACTGTCTCTTGGACCCGGCAGGAAACCCTCACAAAGACAGACGTAGTCTTTGCGAACCTGGAAGCGAACTATGCAAAGCTGCAGACCATGAAAACCACGGTAGGTCTTGGCACACAGAATCGGGCCTGAGGTATCCCGATCCAGACGGTGCACCAGGCCAAACTCCGCCTTCTCGTCACGTGCAATGGGCCAGTACTGACCGAGCTTCTCAGCCACCCATCGTTGCAGAGGTCTGCCTCTCGCTCCACTGCGCCATTCCAGATCCTCGTCATCTGCGAAGTCGCCGACAGACACCGTCCAGCCAGGAGGCTTCCACAGAATGCAGAAATCCCGCTGCTCCAGCAACACGTAAGGCATGTCGCCGCTGCGAGATGGAGGCATCCCCAGGGCTGCCTGCGGAGCTGGAAGCTCTGGCCCTTGCTCGGCATCCCTGTCCTGGCACAGATAAATAGCCACTATGACCTGACCATGATGCCAATTACACGTGTGACATGTGATGAAGCTTTGGCTTTTCAGGGCCGCTGACGACTCCGGGAGACTTCAAGGATAACCATCCGCTTCAGACTACTTGAAACTGGAGGAACCCCAGTACACTAGGCTCGGGCGTTGGATTCGGGTTTTGCCCGCCACGACCTTCCTGTTGTCCGGCTTGCTAAAGGGAGAAATCTATTGGAAGCTTTGGGGCTTGCAAAGGCGGGACTTTTGTTGGAAGTTAGCTTTGGGGCTTGCTAAGGCAAGAGTTTTGTTGGAAGTTAGCTTCGGGGCGTGCTAAGGGGGGGAATTTTATTGGAATCTGGTTTTGGGGCGTAAGGCGGGAATTTTGTTGGAAGTTAGCTCTGGGGCTTGCTAGGGGGGAATGTCTTTATAAGTGAAGTTTGTTTTGGGGCTTGCAAAGGGGGGATTTTTTTTGGAAGTAAGGTTTGGGGCTTGCTAAGCGGGGAATTATGTTGGAAGTTAGATTTGGGGCTTGCTAAGGCGGGAATGTTTTTGGGGGCGTTTGGAGCTTGCTAAGGGGGGGGAATTTCATTGGAAGTTAGCTTTGGGGCTTGCTAAGGGCGAAGAACCAGTGAGCAGGAGCTACCCCTAGCGTCTTAGAACCTAGGACCTACTCCTACTGTCTTAGCTCCTACTCACAAGTTGCCATGTCCAGGATTAGGGCATGGCCAATGGCCTGTCCGCTGCGCGCGCCCCGGCGCAGGTCCTGTTGCCAGTCCTGTACCTTAGTTTTGCGCTTTCGAAGTTTAATCGCATACCCTTAAACTCCCCGATCGTTCCGTGCTTCGGGCTGGCGGCCCAAAGACTGTTCTGCATCGGCAAACGTGTCGGAGCTGGTTCAGGTGAGCCCCACAGCCCATTTCACGCAGTTGATCATTACATTAATGGTGTCCCAGAGGTGTGTGGTCATTTTAAATTTGACAGCGTGTGGCTTGACAACACCAGAAAAGCAAAGTGTTTCCCTGCCACGTTTGTTAATTTCAGCGTGCTTTCTCAGTCTGTGATTTTACACACACTTCTCTCAAACGAAAAGAGTCCAACCATATCGGTTTCATGTGGGTCGGCTTTCAAACTAGCATCATGGTCACGAGCTCCGCGGCCCCCTCCTCCCCCCAAGGTTTGGGTATTGACAATCTACACCCATCAGTGCACACAGATTGACAATTTGCACCTATCATTTACACACAAGTTGACAATCTGCACCTACCATTGTGGGGTGGTTTTAGGCCTAGGCAATGACTGTATTGGTTGAAGCCCTCCAGCCCTAACAGACTCAGGGCCCAGCAATGGCAACGTTGGACCTGCGGAAGGTCCGCCTGTACAAGTAACGAATTCGGCGCCAGTAGGCCTTGGCCGGTTAGGGTTTAGGGTTTCCAGGGTTTAGGCTTTCGGGATGGAGAATTCGTGTTTAGGGACTCGGGTTTAGGGAACGAGGATCAGAATTTATGTTTTACTGATTAAGGATTAGAGATTGGGGGGTGGGCTTAGGGACAAGGATTAGAGTTTAGGGGTTGGGTTTAGGGACGATATTACACACATACATTTATGCACTCTTGCAATAATACATTATCATGTTGCTATTGCACTATCACAGTATTTCATACGATGCAGTTACATCTGTTTCGCTCTACATACGTTACTCAATCGCAGAAGAAGTCAGACCTGGCAGGCGGACAGACGGCAACAATGTTCACTCTGCACATGCATGCCGCCCCTGCCTTCTTGCGAGGTCTAGTTCGAGTTCACAAGTGTAGGCGGCCAATGTGATGAGCTTCTTCCGTGGCCGTAGCAGCCAAGTCCAGATTAGGACCTTTCCACACCAAGGACGACACGGCTTGATGAGGCAGCCACAACGCCACCATGGTATCTGTCACTGCCCCCTGCTCCTCCTGCTCCGGCTCGTCGTCGGCCAAAGTGGCCAGAGTGTCGGCCAACCCCAGCCTCGGTTTGTAGGTGGCAAACCAGCTCGTGGTATGCTGAGGGCTTCGGGTTTTGGGGTTGACCCTCAGCGCCGTCACATGATCACGCAGGCGGGGGACGGACGGCTGCTAGAGGACTCCCTTGGATTTCCCAATTTGAGTGGAAAAAAGAAGATTGCGCGTCAAAGTGCTTGTAGTGCTTGTAGTGCTTGTGGTGCTTATGCCTGTGATGCATTTTGCACTGAGAGGTTGTGCTATATGTGTTGTTTTGAGCAGCTGATCAGCTCAAGCTACTTCGCTAGTCATCAGTCCCACAGCGCCTTTTGCCCGAGCAGGCCGGACCCGCGAGCTGGTGGACTGCATTTCAATTCAAGTCTGACCTGGCCAGGTAATATGAACTGCCTGGCCAATGCGAGGCGGCAGGCTTTGTGGCGGCACATACGGTTTGGAGCAGGCTCAGTGAGCTCCATAAAAAGCTCGCAATCTATGCACGGCCCCAACTCGGGTTAGGTCAGGGCCAGCTGAGCCAGGAGCCAGCTGGGCAGGGGCAAACATGGGTGGTCATGATTCGTGCGTGTCAAAACACCTGGGAAACAAAACCCAGTGCTTGCCTGCCCACGATGGGCAGCACTTGGCCATTGCGGTGGCTGGCCGTCTGCAAGTCATGGATGAGAGCCCATCGTAGAGGCACGGTGGCACTGGCTGGGCCCAGCAGCAGCGATGGAACCCATCCCTGCAAGCCACCAGACTCGGCAAACACATAATTCAAAAACGTGTTGCCCTCGTGCCCGGGCTCCTCTCCACAGAGTATCTTGACTTGGTCGCCCATGCTCAAAACCAAGTATCCGCCTTCCAGGGTCATACTACCATCTTTGGAATGCTCGATGCCGCCGTATGCGTGGAGGCAGCGATAGGTCAGTCCTGGCACTGGCATTGTGGCCGGTGGCATGGTTGCTGCTCCTCCTGCTGGTGGCATGGAAGGCGGCGGTGGTGAAGCGGCGGCTGTGTTGTATTGAGAATAGTTAACATCGCCCCGTATCCAGATGGCCTTCAGGCGGCAGTGCCGATTTGCAGCATGTGGCCTGCCTGGCGCGACCCACCGATCTCGCATGCCAGATTGAACAACCAACAAAGTTTGGCTTCCAGTTCTAGGAAGCATGCCGTGGCTTCGCGGCTCAAGCACATGTATGCTTGCTGAATGGAGCCGTGGCCGAACACTCCGAACCTTCCTGAATGGCCGTTGCTTGATGCGTAGATGGCCTTGTCGTTAAGGATACCACCACTCCCCGTGCAGAAAGGGCCGGGCTGAGTCAGCACCCTGAGGTCGGTGCAATGGTATATGTTTGCGACTTCTCCAGGGCACGTCCAGCCATCTCGCGATTTGAAGTGCGCCGGGCATGGATCGAGTGCCATCTGCATATCCACCAAAAAACGGAAGCACACCTTGCCATTGGCCACCTCGCTGCTGCGAGGAAACTGGCTCAGCAGTGCCTCGAAGGACTCCACCATTGCAACGTAAAAAAGCAATGCTACTCACTACGAATCTTGCTGGTGACTTGAGTCTCAATCTAACAAGGGGCATGGCAAGCTGGATGACAAGCAAGCTACATCTGCAATTAGCCTAATTCACAAGGGGCATGGCAAGCTGGACGACAAGCAAGCTACATCTGCAGTGAGCCTAAATCACAAGGGGCATGGCAAGCTGGATGACAAGCAAGCTACATCTGCAATTAGCCTAACCTGCAAACGTGGCATTTTTTGGCGCTAGCTCCGAAGCTTGTCTCGGAAGAAGTTTGTCCTGACACTCTCACAGCTGCTTCTTGTCAATGTACCTGAGCCATCTGCCAGGAAGAAGTGCCGAGGGTGGTGGGTGTAGTGTGGTGGTGGGGTTGGTTTGATTCGGCCCTGCCTCGCCAAAGCAACTTCAAGATTGAGGAGGTAGGTGCCCAGGCTCAGCGCATACTGCTCCTGCCGAAAAGGAGGGTTTTTGTGAGCAGGAAGAACCTCCGACCTACCTCCTGCTCCTGCCTCTGCAGCCAGATGCTGAAGTAAGGCGTGCAG